AGCTCTTATTTGATGTATAAACTAATTTTAATTATATTAATTTTGATCAAAGACCATAAAAGTGTTATCATGAGGAAAAAGGAAGAGGAGAGGAGAAAGAGGAGGTATGCATCAGAACTATTGAGAAATACTGCAATAATGCCTTGCCACTAGTTACAGTATTCGTACATGCTTGAATATAGTATCTAATATGCTTTAGACAACAGACAGAGGGAGCAGAGTTGGCGTAGTGGTGAGAGTGCTCGCCTTCCACCAATGTGTTCTGGGTATTATTCCTGGACCCTGCATCGTAAGTGGATTGAGTTAGTTGGTTCTCTACTCTGCTCTGAGAGGTTTTTCTCCGGGTACTCCAGTTTTCCCCTCTCCTCAAAAACCATAATCATTTGAATTTACCTCATTTACAGTTTATTTGGATTTATACACAACCCCACAGGCTGTTCAGCTGTAAACACTATCGTGTCTAAATAAAGGTGTCAGGGGTTTCAATAACATTACTTATAAGCGGCCACTGAAGGTTTCATATGCGACTGTGACCACTAAAATCACTTTTTATTTTCACTAATGAAATCCAAACAGATGGCGGTAACAGGTCCCACAGGTGGCGGTAGACCACCAGTAACCGCCTTTTAATGAAACTCCTGTGTCATTATTATTATTATTATTATTATTAGACCTACAACAGACACCCTCTACCTCATCCTAATCTAGGATTAACCGAACCTTGCTTTGACAAAATGAGCTTGTGGGTTTGAATAATAAAAATACTAATAATAATAATAATAATAATAATAATAATAATAATAATACAACCATCTTAAATTTGTACAGTTGTAGTTAAACAAACAAAACAATACAAACAAAAAACTTTATTCATTAATTACAAATTATAATTTTTATGTTGGCTTCCACCCGCATATAGAAGAGCCTAATCGAGGCAGGGGAAGAGACACACAAGTTTATTGCAAAAGAGGAAAAATATTTTACAAACAATACCAGCTGTCGCCAAATTGAATTATGGTATCAGTT